AAAAAAATCACTTTTAAAGAATTTATTCTCAAAAAAGAGCTCAAAGAGGGACTAACCTAATTATTAATTCTGCAAGGCTTAGTATGGAATTATTGCAAATTTTAAGATAATCATAAGATCGATTAATTATTTTAAACATTTATTTCAAAATTCAAATTAACTTTTAAATAAAATAATAATGCTTTATTATCGTGATTGCATGCAATCACTAAACTTTACATTAATTATAATAACCTCATTTTCAATTATTATAATTTGTGGTATTGCAAAATTTATTCTTTAGAATGTTAAATATCACTAGATAATTATCTAAATAATATTCTCATCCATGGTGATTTTAAAATGAAAAAAAAATATTTATTAAAACTCAAGATATATAAAATTTGAAATTAAAAAAATATTGTCTTTGTAGATGGATAGTTATAATAATTTTTATAAATTTAAGAAAAGAAATTAATTAATTTTATTTGTGAATGCGTTTGGAGAAACTAAATATAGAATTTGAGAGATTATCCCCCTTTTGGTGCTTCTTAAAATCAGCAAGCAGATTTAAGATTATTTCATAATTAATTTTTTATTAAAATTTATCAAACACCTAAAATAATTGTGACTCTATCATCCAAATTTAGGGCTATAAAAGAAATCACAAATTTAATTAAGCTCATGTTTGATATAGATTAAAATTTAATTTTAATTCGAAATTAAAGTAAAAAATTAATTTTAGTATCACATTTCATGGAATTAAATTTTTTTAAACAACACATTTTATCAATTTTTATCAAAATTTACTTAAAATAATATTTTAATCTAAACCAAACAGGGACTAAGTTTGTTGCATTAATTTGAATTCTTATAAAATGTGATCAAATGTGACTAAAGATTTCCTTTATTTTTCAACATGTACAACGAGTTTCGATTTTATTCATGTAACAAGTTTTTTTTAAGACGTACAACAAGAGTGTAGCCAATATTCTTGTGCAACAACTGAAAATGTTTATAATCATTTGGAATTTGGTTTAAAGACCGTAAATTTTGATTTAAGCATAAAACTTGAAAAGTGACTTTGTGTTAATTTCGACCAAATATTCGAATTTGATCTGATAGTCAAATTATAAATATAAGGACTAATTTGTTCTACTCGACGAGTTGATTATCGTGATATATTTGGAATCTCAAAATCAATTTTGAATGAATAAGAAATTGAGGTATGGAAGCACTCAGATTTCCTTTGCAAAAATTACATCCTAAATGGATTGGATAATACACTTTATGGAGTGTATAGTTTGATGGATTTGGCCAATGATCTATATGATTCATTGAAAAAGAAGTACAAGATTGAGGATGTCGAAACAAAGAAGTTCATTGTCGCAAGTTTTTGGACTACAAAATAGTAGACTCCAAAACCGTAATAAGTCAAATGCAAGAACTTCAAGTGAAATTGAGTAATCCTTCCCAGTTGTAGTCATCATTGAGAAACTTCTTTTTATATGGAGAGATTTCAAAAATTATTTCAAGCACAAACGTAAGGAGATGAACTTGGAGAAAGTGATAGTCCGTTTGAGGATTGAAGAAGGCAATAGAAATATCGAAAGAAAATCTATTTTTCAATTTAGAGCAAATTTTGATGAAACTGGTTCGAAGGTCATCAACAAGAAGTGTAAGATCTCCGGCGTTGTACCAAGAAGAGACAAATCCAAGAATGTCGAGAAGTTTAAAGGCAACTATTACAATTTTGGAAAAGTTGGTCATTATTCAAACGAATGTCGAAAGTTGAAGAAAACTGCTCAAGCAAATGTAGTTGAAATATATGTGTCTATCTGTAGTTGTTTCTGAATGCAACATGGTTGGTAATTTAAAGGATTGGTGGGTCAACACTGGTGTTATCCACCATATTTGTGCAAATAAGACCATGTTCTCAAATTATCATGAATTGAAAGGAGAACAATTGTTCATGAAAATGACTTTCGGGAAAAAACTAGTCCTCAATAATGTCCCCAATGTGCGAGATATTTGCAAGAACCTGGTTTTGGGGTCTTTACTTAGCAAAAATGGCTTTAAACTTGTATTTGTGTCGGACAAGTTCGTACTTAAAAATGATATGTTTGTTGGTAAGAGTTATCTTAGTGACAAAATGTTCAAGATGAGCGTCTTTACAATTGTAGCAAAAAGCATTAAGAATAAAAATTTCAATTCTATTTATATGCTTAAGTTGTCTTGTTTATGTCATAGTCGATTATGACACGTTAATTACAAACTGATGCGCAAACTTATGAATCAAAGTTTAATTCCGACGCTTAAAATTGATTCTAATCATAAATGTGAAGTATGTGTTGCTACAAAGTTGGCCAAAACACCCTTTCACTCATTTCAAAGGAACACGATGTCTTTAGAATTAATACATAACGATATATGTGATTTGAAATTCATTCAAACTAAAAGTGGTAAGAAATACTTTATAACTTTAATTGATGATTGTACAAAGTATTGTTATGTCTATTTGCTACTATAAAAACGAAGTCTTAGATATATTTAAACATTATAAGACAGAAGTTGAGAATTAACTTGGTAAACGAATAAAAGGTATTCGTAATAATAGATGTGGTAAATACGTTGCACCGCTTGACGAATATTGTTCCGAGCATGAAATCATTCATTAAATAACGGCACTTTACTCACCCTAATCGAATGATATTGTTGAATGTAAAAATTGAATTCTTAAAGATAACTAAGTTATGAAGATTCAATGAAACACTTTGGAAAATGTTTCCTGACTCATTCATTTGATAATTAAAGTGCTTTCTACAAAATGTTAAAAGTTAATATATACTTTTAATGATTCCTATATCTTGATTAAGTCAAATGGAGTATGGCAGTTTAATAAGAGGTCACATATCTAAGTGTGAGGTGGAGCTATCTCAACGAAAATTGTTCAAGGCTGAAATTTTCTAAAACAGTTATGAAATTCATGAGTGGTTCAGGTTCAAAATGAGAACCATAAATATAAATATAAATAGACTTACTTGTTCTACTTATCGAGTAGAATGTAGTGGTATATTTAGAATTTCAAAATCAATTTCGAATAAATGAGAAATTGCGGTTCGAAGTTGGAAATAAAAGAGAAAAAAACTGACGTGAAATTTGTCTAACTCCATCTCTCGTCTAGTGCTCGAACGATAAGACTGTTGCTCGAGTGACAAGCTAACGACAAGCAGGTGAAAAAGGTTTTGCTGAACAGGTGTAATGTCGCTCGAGCGAGAAGCTAGAGATAGCAAATGATGTTTTCATTAGTGATGATTGTTGAGTTTAGGGCATGACACTTCACTCACAATTTCTCATTTTCTATAAATAGGACTCCTTGGACGTCCATTGTGCATCCCATATCATTTGCATTGAGGATTATATCAAAATCTCTTGTAAAAACTCTCCAAAAACCATTCTCTTGTAGAGGGAAAAAAATTCGTTCGAGTTCACTGTTGCTTGTAGTTTGAAATACTTCTACCATAAGTTGTTTCCTTTGTATCTTGAGAGACAAGTGTCGTAAATCGTTAATACCGTTGCAGAGTAAATTTTCCTTAAGAAGAAAGTGTTAATCACTTGCCTAGAATTTCATTATTCACTTTTTCTTCATTTTGCTTCTATTTACATTGAGTTTAATTAAGCTCCTATGAATTAAATTTAACTATTATTTTGTCATTTAAACAAATAACCATTTTTTTTTACGTATTAGTCCGCCCTGTAATTCGGTCCTGGATCCGTCCCTGCATTTAACTATACAATATCACCAACACATTTCATACACAATTTGCCTAAAGATAAATATGTAGTTTTGCAGAGTTGGAAAAATTAGAAACTTCTTTTTTCCCTTGGTAGTTGATAAGAGCGAAACGAAGATAGGAGAGAAGGAGGGAACGCTTTTTTTTTTTTCTTTTGATGCTAACTTTCGTGGTAGGGAGTAAACCGCCGGGATAAGAGCGTCACATTTCCAAATCTTTTGGCTTCCACTTAAATATCGAAAGCAAAATTAGTTTGTGACATCTTTTATACGTGATTAATGTTTACCAACCCTGAAAGGAAGTACACCATTTTTTTTGCCCTTTTAACTTGAGATTGGATACAAAAAAATTACCATTCAAGTTGATATCTTGCTAGGTAAATTTGTAAAAACATCGCATGGAGTAGAAGTGGTGGTCCAACCAATTTTTTCTTTTTCTTCTATTAAGAAACCTGTAAACCAAATATCTAGTTAGCAATCAGAATAATCACACAAGGATGACAATCGACTTCACTCCAACGGTCAAATTTCAGACGAAGTATGATCCACCTTCTATCAAGCACGTACAATTACAAGTATTCTATTTTGCAGATCACTTGACTAAAAAAAAAACTTTGAAATTTGATGTGGAAAGCATACTGATTTTCAAGGACAACGTGTATAGATTCACAGAAAATGTACTCCAAAAAGATTGCCTAAGTATGAATAGCAATAGTAATAGATGGATTATGATGAATTAATTAACAAGTTAACAATAGTATCCACTATATTCCATAAAAGAAATTTCCTATGAAACAAATCTCAGAACCTTTGAAAAGTACTAACTATAATTAATGACCAATTAGTAAAAGATTGTGATGTATTAAAGCAATATATAATTTATTAA